AGGGGGGAGGCACTTGACCCACGGCAGGAGCTTGTGTGTGTGTGTGTGTTCGAGAGGATGCACAAGCGGAGCAGCAACCCGAACAAGATGCAGAACATTGTGGATGATGTGGCATCTTTGTATGGGCTGCTTGTGGACCAGAGTGCGGCTGTGGAGGCGAGCATCAAGACTACCGTCCGTGAAGTGGAGACCAAGCGCGGTGAACGTGACCTGACGGCTCTGCAGGACGCCACGGGCAAGGTCGCCGCTGTCCACTCACAGCTGGCCCCCACATGCATGGCCATGGCCTCCTCACACTTTGACGCCATTCTCTCGTCGTGTACGCTGCTCCCTTGGGAGGTGGGGGAGGGGGAGGGGGAGGGGGAGGGGGAGGGGGAGGGGAGGGGGGGAGGGGGGGAGGGAGAGGAGGAAGGGACTCACATCACATGTGTGGCTGCTGATGGTGTGGTGGACGGGCACGGGTGGGTGGACGGCTTCTCGCGGGTGGACGGCTTCTCTCGGGTGGTGACCGGCGGCTGCAGTGAACCACACCATCGCAATGGTCAACGATCAGGTGACTCTCGAGGCCTCGCGGGAGGCCGCACGGGCCGAGGCTCTAGCACAACTTGTGCCCAAGGAGGAGGCCATCCGGAGGGCCTTTGCCGAGGATATTGCCTCCAAGAAAGATGCCTTTGACGCAGAGATCGAGGCTGAGGCTGAGCGCATCCGCGCAAAGTACCACAAGCCCGCTCTCGCTCCGCAGCCGTCAGAGCCCGTCACTGCCGACGGCGACTCCAACGCAGACGACACATCTGCTGCAGCTGAAGACGACGAGGCCGCCTAAGCATCAATCCGTGTCTGTGCAGCACCCCAAGGCTGAGGCGCAAGCCCGATGGCCACGCTTCCACTGCTGGCTCTGCCATCGTGGCGCTATCAAGACCCGGGCCAGTGATCACAGCAAGAGACGAGCGCCCTGACGTCAAGGATAAAGCTCTCCCACTCGTTCACCTTCCTGTTGAGACCTCCAAGCACTGCGGCGCGGCGCACCGCTGCAGAAATGTGGCGAGCGGTGCCGGAACAGGCAGTCAGAGGCAGAGGCAGCCACTTGTCGCACCGCCCAAACGGGGAGACAGCTGCGACATGGCTGCGGCTGCGACATCGGCGACGGCACCGGCCATGAACACGAATGAGGAGGAAGACAATAGCGGGGAGATGATGGCGGTGACGTTGACGCTCGGCCCACGCGGAAGTGACACCCACAGAGCCATGTTCCCCGCCTCGGCCACCGCCAACGAAGTGCTGGCTACGCTCGACGCCGTGGCCGAGCTGGACATCGATCCACAACGAGTGGCCCTGCTGATTCCGGGCGCGGCAGAGCGGGAAGCAGAAACAGCGGAGCTCTCTGCGGAGGAGATGAGCATGCAGAAGCCGCGGCTGCTTGGCTCACGATCCGCGCCACGGTGGTTGGCCGGCGAGGCCAGGCTCGGCTCAGCACGGCTCGGGCACGAGCCGCGGCTCTCCCTGAGGCGGCGAACGCGGCGGGTGCGAATCCTGGTCACATCCTTCTCCAAGGTGCTGCGGTATGATGTGTGCGCACCGGTCGGCGAGTTGCTCGCAGCGTTTGCGAGCCGGATCGCACTTGCGAACCCGGAGGAGTTTGGCCTGACCATGGTCGGTCTCGGACCGCACAAGTGGCTCGATCTAACGCTCCCGCTCCACTGCCAGGTCTGGTCGCCGGAAGTTTCCGAGTCAGATGATGCGCTCATCCAGCTCAAGTTTCGCCGGCGACTCTACGCCTCACATCTGGACCTGTCGGCGTGCGTCCTTCCGGTGGTGAGTTTGGAGATCGCCGACGATGTGCGGGCCGGGCGCTACCTTGTTGACACCGCCAAAGCTGTGGAGCTCACCGCGTTGCATCTCGCAGTTTACGCACCGCGCGAGTTGACAGCACTACCGAGCCCGCTCGACGAGTACCTCCCTGCGCAAGTCGTGGAGGCGGTGCGCAGCGATGAACTCCATGCGCGGATCCTGGCAAGGCACGCCGAGCTGCGGCAAGAGGAAGGAAGAGCGTTGGCCGAGGCGTATGTCCAAGCTGCAGCTGCTCTTCCGCTGTTTGGCGCAACAAGGATCGAGTGCGGCGAGAACGGTGTGACGCTCTCCATCGGGCGCGAGCACGGCTTAGTGGTCCTCGACGGCATGTACGGAACGTCGCCGCCACCGCTGGCGACACTCGACATAGCAGAGTGGAAAGCCGGCGAGCGCGGCAGGCCCACACAGTCGGCCATCATTGACATTGTGGCGCTCGAGGCGATTGTCGGGTGGCGGCACACAAGTCGGACGGTGACGTTGGTGCTCGGGAGCGAGCCCGAGCGCGAGGTGACGTTTGGCACGGCCCGCGCTGACGAGGTAGTCCATCAGCTCGAGCGCCTTACCGAGCTGTTGTCGGCCGAGACTGGTCAGCGTGCGTGGGAGCAAGCAGAGTGGACCGATGGCATGCATGTCTCGCCGATGTTTGCGAGTGGCGAGCACGAGTTTCAGCCCGAGCTGTTCGAGGTGGATCTCCTGCGACCGCGCGGCGGCGGAGCAGTGATCGACGGCAGCTGGGCGCCCGGCGCGCCTACAGCTCTTGAGCTTACGCTTGTACTCCATGCACTCATTGGCGGAGCGGCTGCGCTGAGTGCTGCAGGCGACGGTGAGTCGGTACACCGGCGGATGTGGCTGGCGTGGGCCGCCGCCGCCGGCGCAGTCCGACTTCTCGCCGCCGTCTCACCGCACGAGTTTGGCCTCTTTCTGGCGGTACTCGCCATGACGGCTATTGAGGCGACTTTCTGCGGAGCCGGTTTTGCAGCTCCCACCGATCCGGCTCTTCTGCCTCGACGGATGCTCGCACTTGCTGGAGCAGTCTCAGTAGCGGCGATGGTTGCGTACGGCGCAGCCGGGTTTTGGCCGACGAGCGGCGGCCTGCCCAGCGCACAGGGAATGTCAAAGAGATGAGATTGGAAGTGTCCACGAACCATGTCATGAAGGAGTAGGGATGAGTTACTGATCGGCTGTTTGATCGAGGCGTTATCATGAGACAAGCCAACTGAGCGGCTGGCCGGCTGGCTGACTGGGTCCGACTGAGCGGATGGCCCTGGCCCGACTGAGCGGCTGGCCGGCTGAGGGTGAGCGGACTCCAGACGCCGACGACCATCGCACTCTGCCAGCTCATTGGACAGGATGCGCCCGCTTACCGAGGAGGAGATGAAGAACGTGCTGGAGAAGCTTTCCCACTAGTACGCACACAAGGTGGGGAATGAGTAGAGGTGCACAAGGGTGCAAGCAGAGGAAGGAGGGACGGTGCAGGGGTGGTGCGAGGGCGGCTGGGGGGGGACGCTTGGTCTTGGCGTGCCCATCCATGATGGATGGCAGTGGTGGACAAGGGGGGGGGGGGGGGGGGGGGAGAGGGGGGCGACTTACGGCAGGAATGGGGGGGGGGGATACACAGCATCGGATCGAACATCAAGCTGCTTGTGGAGCGTAACGATGAGGAGTATGTGTTCCGGCTGCACAAGAAGCGTGTGTACTACCTGGCTGAGGATCTGATGAAGAAGGCCATGCATGTGGCGCGGAAGCGACTGGTGGCCATGGGCACGGCGCTGGGTAAGTTTACGGCGTCGGGCCGGTTCCTTCTGGAGATCACATGCCTTGACTACCTCGCACAGTATGCACAGTTCAAGGTGTGGGTCAAGCCGTCGTCGGAGCTCTCGTTCCTCTACGGCAACCACGTGCTCAAGGCCGGGCTCGGCCGGATCACCGACGGAACGCCCAAGAACCAGGGCGTGGTGGTGTACAACATGCAGGACGTGCCGCTCGGGTTTGGCACGACCGCGTACTCGACATCAGACTGCAGGCGGGTCGACGGTACCGCCATCGTGTGCTTCAACCAGTCCGATGTCGGCGAGTACCTCCGCGACGAGGACGGGCTCTCGTCGGCGTCAACCGCCATGGACATGGAGTAGAGGCCTGCCGGCCCGGGGCTGCGTCACCTTCCTCTGCCTTTATCCTGCTCTCGAGCTCTTGTAAGCCGCCGCGAGCAGCGTCCGCCGTCAGCGTAAACAACAAGTACTGGAAGCGAGCGGCGACTTGGCTTGCTAGCTCTTGGCCTCTGCACGGCGCTTGGCCTCGCGAGCCTTGCGGCGGGCGCGCTTACGCGCAGCGGCGGCCTGCTTGGTCTTCTTGGCCTGCTCGGCGCGGGCCAGCTCGCCGACAACGTCTCGTAACGAGGATCGCGAGCGGGACCGGGCAGGCTTGGCCCGGCCCGGCCTAGCCTTTGCCGACGACGAGCCGCCCTTGCGCAAACCATCATCGTCGCTATCGTCGTCGCTTTCATCAGAGGCAGGCTCAGCGTCTGTACCCTCGGCAGCATTGGGCTCGAGCCCGCCGCGTGCGCCCTCACCAAAGCCGGGATCCTTGTCGTGGAAGACCTCAAAGGCCTTTGAGCCGCGCGTGGCCTTGGTGTGGCGCTGCTTGAGCAGGTTGTCGAGGCGGCGGGCCTTGGCGCGCGACTGAGCATCCTCCACTGTCACCTCCTCCTTGTGGAAAGCATTCGGCTTGGCCTTGGCTCCCACGCCCAGGCCGGCAGGGCGCGGCTTGTCAAACAGCATCCGCATCCGTGCCTCGGCCGGGTCCTCCGCATCGCCTCGCCTGGCTGCCCCATCTCGCCCTGCCGAGGACCCTGCCGCACCGCCCGCCGCGGCTACCAGCCAGCCAGCCACCACCGACCCGACGTCGTTGCGTACAACAACCTTGTCTTTCATTGACCCACGGTGGAAGTCGGGTGGAGAATGGGGCTGGGGGGCTGGGCCGAGGGGGGGGGGGGGAGGGGGGGAGGGGGACCGGCAGGATCACTCGGACGACCGCTGCGCCCTAGCTGCAGTCGGCTGGCCGCCGTGATCATGGCTCTCGCGCAGCCAGTGTGTCTGGGCCGCTTTCTTGATCTTCTAAGCCCATGCTCAGGTCTCCAGCGTTCAATGCAGCTGCGGCTCAACCAGTAGCGGTTACTACTACATGAAGCGCGAGAGGAACTTGCGCCCAAACTTGGAGGAGAGCAGCTTGACCTTCATGTCGCTCTTGTTCTTCTTGAGGATCTCCATCTTGGCAGCAAAGACAGCCTCGGCCTCGGCCTCGGATGGCGCCGCCGCTGGGTGGTGCGCTGCATCGCCGAGGAGGACCCGCATCTTGAGCGCAGTCGGGCCAGAGACCAGCGCCTTGCACTGCTTGACAAACGGCTTGTTGTTGGAAGGTCGAGCAGGCTCTCATACTCTTCGATGAGCTGTTTCTGCCGGAGACGGACCGACTTGTGGCGCTTCCCCAGCTCGCGCGATGACTTGCGGAGCCGGAGAAGAATGACATAGACCGGGATGCCGAGCTCCGGCGCCGAGTATCGGGCTTTGTCGGCCTTGGCCTCGGCCACAAGATGGGAGAGCCGCGGCACGTTGAAGATGCACGACCTGTACTCGTTCTTGAGATCGTAGTACACCGCAGCCGCGATCAGGTTCACAAAGCTCGCAGAAATGAGCTCGCCCTTCTTGCCCACCATCGAGATCTGAAGGAGTGGTGTGGCGCCGTTGCCGCAGCAGGCATCTTTCAGCATCTGGAGCTTGCGATTGAACGAGATGGTGGCCAAAATGCCTGCTACGCCCTGCAAGGTCCGTGACGGGTGCCGGAGAATGGTCGCGCCGTCGGCGCCGACGGTGATATCCGGAGCGCTTTCTGAAGCAGTTGCTGGGACCGGGGCTGGGGCCGGGGCCTCACCATCGGCGCCCTCGGCGTCGGCCGCCCCTGGAAGCGCGTCCGGGTCCACATCTCCCAGCAGCGCAGTGATGTTGACGAGTCGGATGTTCGTGGCAAAGCGGCAGATCTCGATGTCCAGCTCGCCGTACATCCACTTGCGGGACTTGAGCTTGCGGATGTCCTCTCGCACTTCGGCGACGCGAACGCGATGGAACTGATCGTCGCGCTGGTGCTCGGCGGCTAGGTCGTGGGCACGGCGGAAGATGTTGTACGCGTTCGGCTCTGCTCCCGGCAGGTGGTGGTTGGCAAAGGCCTGGCCCTTGAGGGTGATGACTTCGGCGTCAGAGAAGAGAACGTCAGAGAGGTTTGCCGAGGGAGCGCCGACGAGCAACATGCCCGAGTTTGCCTCACCGACCTTGCGACGAGAGTGCATGGACTGGAAGCACGGATCGCAGACACGGGTCTTGCTCACCTTGGTGGTGCCGGGGTGATTCATCATGACCTTGTGCGGCGAGCACGAGCCGCACACCAGCTTGCCGCACATCCGGCAGTGATGGCGGCGGAACATGCCAAGCTCCTTGGATTTGCACACCTGACAACGCTTGGTTGCGTTGTCGGGCGTCATCTGCTCGGGGTGAAGCGCAACCGGGAACCGCTCGTGGACTGCCTTGTGGCGAGCAGCAATGTCCTCGCGGTCGTCACCGGCGGTGGCGGCCTGGGCCTCGGCCTCAAGCCGGCTCGCCATCTCGGGATCGCAATGGCTCTGAATGACCGCTGGGGTCACGTACTTGAGATCGTCCACCCTCGCCAGAGGAAAAACGACGCAGCCCTTTGGGTAGCGCCCGATCCAGGCGGCAGGCTCGTCGTCGGCGCCAAGCTCGAGCGATCCGCCCTCGCTTGCAATGTCCCAAAAGTCGTATGAAATACCGAGGAGACCAAAGATGGAGGCCCAGAGGCGAATGCTCTCTTTGGTCACGCCCGGCGCTGTCACAAACAGCGCGTCCTTCGGCGATTCATCAACGCTGTAGACCGGCGCCACACGGGTGTAGAGCTCAACCTTCTGCACCGCGCTCCCTGCGTAGCAGAGCGAGATGGCCCAATGACCTTCGGAGAAAAGCTCCGAGTCGGACGGGACGGCCATCGACGCGGTGAAGCTCGAGCTCCCCTCAACAGGCGCCCACTCGGTGGTGAGCCACCCGTCCGGGGCGCGGAGCTGGAGCTCGTAGTCCTGGCCAAGAGCCACGCTGCGCTGGCCCAGCACCGCTACATCTGCGGTGACTACGACTTGCTCGCCCGGCCGGACGCCTGGTGGGCCGCGGATCTCGGCTAGAACAACCGGGAAGAAGAGCGGGATGGTGCGGACACAGGCACCGGTCGGCACACCAGCGACAAGGACACGGATGCCAAGGACCAGGTGGCGGAGAGGCGGCAGCGCGCTCAGCTCCTGGCTGTTGGCCGGTAGCACAATCGTGATCGAGCCCTCGAGCACAGCCCGTCCACCAATGGCTAGCCGGCCGACCGGAAGCGACGAATGCGAGCCGCTGGCGACCGCCAGGGGAGACTCATCGGGGAGGAACGGAGCGACGGAGACATGCTGGGCCGGCGACGGCAGGCCGCCCACGTTTTCAACGGTAATGCCGGAGATGGCCACGGCCGAGCCTGGCTCAAACAGGCCAGACGGTGCGAGCGGGGCGATGGTCATCTCGTCGATGACAAGCGCGTACGAGGCAAGCGACTCGGAGACCACGCGGGTTGGATCGTCGTCGGCGACGACGCGGAATCGCTGCTCGCCATCACGGCCGCGAGTGCCGGCCGGCGAGCCGGCGCGGCCGCTCGAGCCCGAGTTCCCCGAGCGTCCACTTGGTCCGGTGCTCCCGTTGGAGCCGTCTCGGCCGTCCGAGCCCGGTCCGTCAAAGACCCCGCGCGAGCACTGGCCACACCGGTTACCGGCCGACATCTTGCCGCCCGGATACGCGCCGCACGACTTGCAGAACGTGGTGTGGCAGTACGGACAGACAGCGCCGGTGTTGCCAGCGCATCCAATCGGGCACGGCCGCGAGCTAGTGTTTGGGTTGGGGACGGCAGCGCCGCCAGCTCCGCCAGCTCCGCCGGCTCCACCTGCGCCCGCCGCTCCACCTGCGCCTGCTCGGCCGGCCCGCCCGGCGTCTCCGCCGGCGCCGCCGTCGACCCGGGTGTCGAGCAAAGCCAGAAGATGCATATCGCTCTCTGCCACAGTGACCACGATGGAGCCGCCGTTGCCGCCGTTGCCGCCCGCGCCGCCATTGCCGCCGTCGCCGCCACCCGCCCCATTGCCGCCCCATCCACCGTCCTTGCCGCTTGTGCCATCACTACCTCTCTTGCCGTACTCCGTGGCCGCCTGCCCGGCGCGGCCAGGCTCGCCGGCGCCACCAGTGCCACCGGCGCCGCCATCACCGCCGTCGCCGCCAGCACCGCCGTCGCCGCCGTCGCCGCCGCGAGCATCGAGCACGGCAATAGCTCCAGGAGGGAGCGAGATCGGGGCATCTGCCACGCCAGCTAGCACCAAGGCACCCGGCTCGCCAGAGACGCGCACCTCGAGACGTCCGCCGTCGCCGCCGTGGCCAGCATCGCCGGCGTCTCCGCCATTGCCGCCTGGCCTTCCATTTCCGCCGACCCCCGCAGGGTACCCGCCATCACTTCCTGGGCTCCCAGAATTGCCGTCGCCACCATCGTTGCCGCGAGCGCCGTCGTTGCCGCGAGCAGAGAAAACAGATCCTTCCAAAGTAGAGCAGGTGGACGGCTCGTGCTTCGAGCGGACCGCCAGCGGAAACGTGACATCGAGCGGCGAAGGCATGGCCTCGCCCTGCGGCGCAAGGGCAAGCACACCCGGCGGCAGACGTTCGTGCCCTTGCTCACAACCCTGCTCGCCCACTTGGTTGCTCGTCGAAGGCCCGGCTTTGTCCGCCATGGCTATGTTTGAGCTAGAAGAGAGAGATACTCGCACAAAGCCAGTTGGCACATCACACCGACGGAGCGGAGGGGGGGGTGGGGGGGGGGGTGGCGGAGGGGATTTTTTTGTGGCAGACAGCATCTGCCGGGAAACAGTTGAAGCCCAAGAGCCAGCCCAGCCAGCTAGCTCCTGTGCCACTTCATCACCACCGCAAACAGTGAGACAGTCACACACACGCACACACACGCACACACACCACCACACCACCACACCACCACACACCACACACCACAAAACAACCGCCGCCTAGTTCCCGCCGCCTGGATCACTGGTTCTGGTCACACACCCCATCCCCATCCCCCTCTCCCCACTCCACCTCCCCGTTGGCGCCAACTGGACATGCCGTCGGCGCTGGCAAAGTCGATTGCGCGCGAGGCGGCGGTTATGGGCATCACGGCGCGGGATGGACGGGAGAGACAGAGGCAGAGGAAGGAAGGACGGAAGGAACGCCACCGGGCACCGTCTTCACTGGCTGCGGCGGTCAAGCGTATTGTGGGGCCCGGGCGGTCGTCGCTCTCGTACGACGCGACCTTGTCCAATCTGGCAGCCGAGTCGGCGACGACGCTGAGCTCGGCGCTGTCGCGAGCAAGGGCGCAGCAGACACGGGTAGCGCGGGTATTGCGCAGCTCGCGGCCATCGCCGTCGCTCCGGCGCGTCCGATCGCCGCACGGCTCCCCCCACGGATCGTCATACGGCTACGAGTCCGAAAACGACAAGGCCTCCCGCGATGCGCGCCGGCGGCGGACGGCACGGAGAAGGGGGCGGCGGCCATCGATTGTAGACGCATCGAGCGCTGCATCGGCTGACATTGAGCACGCGGCGACGCTTCGGTCGCGCATGTCTGTACGGCGAAGGGCCACGGCGGGCTCGTCGCCGGCCAGCGGATCGGACTTTCGGGACTCAGGGCTCGAGTCTGTGGCGGCGTGGGTCTCGCCCATTGCGCGGCAGCGCGAGAGCTCGCCCATTGCGCGACGGTACGAATCCTCGCCCGGCGTGCCGCGGCCAAGACAAGGTGAGCGCGCGGGTCGGACGCAGTCGCCGACGGCGATGGCGCTGCAGTCGGAGAATGAGAAGCTCAAGCAAGAGAACAAGATGCTCCGCGAGAGCGTAGAGGCGGCCGAAGCCGAGCTCGAAACTGCGATGGCCACCATGGTCGAGCTTCGCAACCAGGCAACAGCACTCAAGTCGCAGGTGCGCTCGCATGGCGGAGCGTCTGCGACAGAAGCAACTCTGCGGCGCGAGCTGGCGGCGGCGCGGCGCGAGCTGGCAGAATCGCGGAAGCGCAGCCCCGTCAGAGGCGTGGCAGCGGATGCGGCGATGGAGGCTGAGCTTGCAGCAGAGGTCAAGCGGCGGTTTGTGGCGGAGGAGCGGGCAGAGGAGCTCAAGGGCGGACTGGACGCCATGAAGGATCGGCTCTCTACGCTCACCATCTCGATGCGGGAGCTCGAAGCGGCGTCGCAGGCGAATGTGTGCGGAATATGCCGTGGGAGAGGCGGGCTGTCCCGGGCGTCAACGCTGTCGATGACGGATCTGCGGCAGGAAACCGGTGGCGGCAGAGGCTCGCACGGGATGTCGCGCGAGCAGGAGATTGCGATCCGGCAGCGCGACGAGGCAGTGGCAGAGGTCCAGCGACTTCGGCGTGAACTGGCGACAAACGCCGAGAGGCTGGCAAAGAAGGACGCAGGACTGCGTGCGGTGACGCGGCAGTTGAAGGCGTTGCGATCGCAGTTGGGGCCGTAAACAGGGACCAAATGTGGCCAAGGCCATGTTGCGGCCTCAGTCAGCGGGGAGATTGGCCACGAGCTCGCCACCTGTCGCGCCTTCCCCACCCCCTCCCTCCATGGCCGCCAGACGCCATGGGCGCCCTGTCTATTGCACATACGACGACTCGAACGGCGGACGGGTCAAGGCTCGCCAAGAGTGGCGCGACTGCCTCACCTGCGCCGCCTCGGCCTCGACTCGCTGGTTCCGTGTCTGTGCCGTCTGTGCCACCGCCTGCCACCCCGATCACCAGCTCGGCCCCGTCCACGCCTCGCGCATCGTCTGCGACTGCGCCACCCATCCGGCCTGCATCATGCGCATCGAGAATGCAAAGTCTGGCGGTGCTGTTTGGAGTATGGCCCCCCCTGCCGCCACCGCCGCCGGGCAAATGTCGTCGTCGATCCGGACGGAGAGTCAGTCCTCGGCTGCTCCCCCCCATCCGTCGCTCTCTGCTGCCCGTACTGCTGGTCTTGCACGTGGGCATTCGCCAGACGTAGTTGACCTCGTCATTGCTGCTCTCGCCGCAGCTGGCTCGGGTGAGGTCGAGACCGAAGCAGTCCTTGCCCAGCTCGCCTCCCTTGCCGATGCATCCACGCCAAGTGCCGCTGGCGAGTGTGGCGCTGGCAGTGATGACGACAACGAGTGCGTCATCTGTATGGATGCCTCCCGCGAGCTTGCTGTTGTTCCTTGCGGCCATCGGTGCCTCTGCCGCGGGTGCGGAGCGCCGGGTGCGCTTGACGCGTGCCCGATGTGTCGAGGACCTGTCGAGGGCTATGTCCGGATCTTTGACGTGTAGCGGTGGACGCATTTATTTACTCCTTGCCGTCCCCCATCCACAGCCACGTCGTCGCAAATGGCGCAAACAAGACGTCATAGTTCTTGACCTTGTGCCGCGCCCTGAACTCCAGCGGGTCCACGCTCTCCTTAGGCGGCATGAGTGTCAGACCAACGTCGATGTGGCCGAGCTGGCGATAGGCGTCGGTGACCACCCTTTCGCCAGTGTATTCGTCGCTCGCCTCCTTCTTGGCAGCCTTGGTGAACGCAGGCGCCTCGTCATGAAGCTGGAACCAGCGAAAGAGTGCCTGTTGGAGTGGACTGTACGGATTCCGGGGGCAGCTCCGCCGCGGAAAGACATCGTATGCTGCCTGGGCCACGCTCAACACCTCGCTCTTGTTGAGCTGCTCCACGTCGCAGCCCGGAAAGCCGAGCACGGCGCCGATGCTGGCCACCTTGAGTAGGCCTGTCATCACATCTGCAATGTTGCTCTCAAAGTGTGCCATGGTCGCCTCGCGCTTCCGAAACTTGACCAACAACGTGATCACAAACCGGATCCACTGCGGGAGACCGCGGCCGCTTGTGTGCAACCTCTCCAGCGCATCCTGCTTGCCTGTCTTGCTCGTAGCACCCACACTGGCCACGGCGGCTGGCGCACTCTCACTCACTGACGACTCATTGCCGCTCCTGCCCGAGTCGGACCCGGCCTCATCGGACATAAAGTCGTCGCTGCTTCCATCCCCTTCCGGCGCAGCCACCACACTCGACGACGACCCGCCCAACGGCTCATCATCGTCGAGCACAATCACGTCCTGCTGCCCGCCTTCATCCATACGCCCAACTCCCTTGGCTGGCGCAAAGCCGAGCGCAGACAAGGACCAGTTCTCGATCGCTCTCGCTTTGCCTGTCACCGAGCTCTGGATTGTGCGTAACTTGTTGACGACCAGCGGCCGGCAGTAGAACAGACCCCCCGCGCCCAGCCGCTTCAGCACCGAAAGGAGCACATCCGCCTCGCAGTCGGCTGACGAGAGCGTCAACCATTCCACCAGCGCCACCTGCACCGCGCTCGCATTCACCTCGGTCGTGTGTTGGGGATACTTGTCCAGCTTTGCTCTGCTCAGCTCACTGACCGCCAACTTGATGGCTTCCACGCTCACCGTCGTCTTGCCCATCGCCTGGATACCGAGCAAGTCCAGCAATTGCGACACCTTCTGCGCCCAGGAGTGCAGCTTGACCAGCTTGGTCTTGCCGAGCCACGCATCCGGCCCCTTCTGTCGCACGCCAGCCGCCAGCATGTACATCAGCGGCCGCGGAAGGCGGTGCCTGCGCACATTCTCAGTCACCTCGGGAACAACCGCGTGCCCGGTCTCGGCCTCATCTTCGTCCTCGGCCTCAGCATCGTCCTCGGCATCGTCTTTGTCCTCGCCCTCGTCCACCCCAGCAGCCGTGGCCTCGTCCTTGACCATACCCTCGGCCGCGGCCTCCTCCGACATGCTTTGCGGCTCGTACTCGGACTCGTCTCCACTCTCGTTACTCTCCTCAACAGCCAGTAACGGCGACGGGAACGCCATCTCTACGAGCAAACTGCCTGACAATGTCCGCTTTGGCACAAACTTCTTGTTGGTGATGGCAATCTTTCGCGACGTGGATGACAACGACAACCCCGCCCGCCGCCCTGTGGGCAATGAACGGCGCTGTCCTCCTCCCCCTCCGGTTGCAACCTCGGCAATAGACTGGCCATGCCCGTCGTCGCTCGAGTCCGACACACTGGCGGCCTCGGCCTCGCCCGAGAGCGACGACGAAAGCGCCGATGACGGGCGCGACGACGACGACAAAGCCGACCCCGACGCTGACCCCGACGCCGAATACTCACCCTTTTCCTCAGACTCCTCATCGCTGCCGGCCTCTGGCGGCGGCGTGGCCTCCACAAAGGCGATCGGACCACTTCGCACTGCCAGAGCCCTGTTTCGCTTAGCCGGGCGTCCGGCAATGACAGGCGCCGAATCGGTCCCAGCCGCCAACAGCCGCCGCTTCCGCACCGCATGCCGCACCGGCGAAATTATGTGCCCAAGGCCGAGGCCCGGAGCCAGATGCGGGGCGTCAAACGCATCTGCGCTCGTCACTGCGGCGTAGAGGGCATCGCCAAAGGCGTAGATGACCAGCGCTGAGAGGTTGTCGAGGTGGCCAAACAGAAGCGGAGAGGCTGCTGATCGCCTCATCTTGACGACGCACGAGCGAGTGAGCCCGTGACTACCCTTGTCGTTCTTGATCTTGTAGTCAGGCATAAATAGCAGGTGCGGCTGAGCTGGCAGAGGCGCCCACGACAGATGTACCGTCACTCCCTCCTCGCCCACCATCAGAGGCTGGCACCGTCCCAGCGCCACCAGATTCAGAACACCCTCTGTAGCCATGCCCTCCAACGTGTAGCCCACAACCTCTCCCTGAACCGACATCGACCCCATGTCCACCACTACGGCGACCTCTGCGCAATCACAAAGAGAGGTGGCTTCCACCACCACCACCCCCTCCCCCCTCCCCGTGGCCCCAGAACAGTGCCTGTGTGTGTGGCCCGGCAACCCCGGTGGCTGCCCGGACCACTCGCAAGTCGCCTTAACCATTTTTCGGTACGGAATGAGCAAATTCGTCCATCGCCGTCCCGCGACGCTCCATACACGTCGCATCGTCCATCAATCGCGGTAGAAGAGTAGTACAATGTGTTAATGGCTGCCACAACAGAAAACAGTCGGCGATGCAGAGATGGACGCCGCACGCGGCGCACAAGGTCCGCGGCCGGCATCGCTTACCATGAAGCTTCCGGCAGGCGAGGCAATCACATCGCAGAGCGGCTTGCTGGGTAGAGTGGTGATGACGAGCGGCCGCTGCAGAGGGACGCTCCCGCTTGCGCGACGGCGCGGAGCTGACGGCGTCAAGCACCATCGAGTTGTTCACTTTGAGACGCGCGCGACAAAGCGTCCGAACGACCGTACCGCTAAATGATAACTCTTTGCGAGAGAGCGGACGTCACACTCTGCATAGACTAGGCTGGCCGGTTGGGGCATGGAGACAGAGCCTGCGATGATCGACGATTGACGGCAGGACATGGGCCACGGCGGCACTACTGGACTGATGGCCAGCAGCACGCCACCTCGCCCGGCTGTTCAGTGCCTTGCGATGAGCGGCAGGGTTCTGGCAGAGATGACGAGGATTCAAGCCGAGATGGACAACCACGCCTGTGATGTGTACGGCATGATCAGATGGTGCCCGGAGACGACGTTCTGCCGTGTGTGGAGTTTAGACGGAGAGTGGCCAGCGCGGTCACGAGGGGCGGAGGGGGGGGGGGGGGGCTGACGCAGTGCTGGCGACCGGCGACGACGGCAGGCTGGGTTGTACAGGGTCAAGGGAGGGAGGGAGAGAGGAGGACGACGGTGTTGTGCACACCTTACTTGGACTCTGCGCAGAAGGCGGCGTAGGCGTCGGCGTCCATGAGGCTCTCCAGCTCGTCGGGCTTGGCGATGGCAAGCTGAACCATCCAGCCGTCCGACTCGGCAGCCGAGTTGACGAGGCCCGGGTCCTCCTCGAGGGTCTCGTTGACGGAGACGACCGAGCCTGTGATGGGCGCATAGACGTCCGAGGCGGCCTTGGTCGAGTCAACGACAGCAAAGGTCTCGCCCTCGTCAAACTCGTCGCCCACGTCGGGCAGCTCGACGTACACGATCTCGCCGAGTGCGTCCTGGGCAAAGTCGGTGATACCGACGGTGGCTGTCTCGTCCTCGACGCGGATCCACTCATGGTCCTTGGAGTACAGAACGTGGGCAAGGCGGGCAGGCGCCATAGCACCCACGGCAGTGGCCATGCGAAGCCCAAGGCCCGCGCTGGCAGTAGAGGTAAACAGCCGCAGCATGAGAAAGTAACTGGTGACCGAAATCCAAAGAAAACTGTGCTGCCGCCTCAGGCCAACGCAACCGCCGCTCGGCCGCCGGTGACGGCGAGTGACGCCGTCGCGCGGCCGTCGGTGACATGAGCATTCATTACTTGCTGCTGTGAAGGAAGTCGGCGGAGACTACAACCTGTGGTCAAACAACAACTCCATTGGTAGAATGGCTGTACCTCGACCGGCGGTCGCCTCCTACAGGTCGGCGACCGCGCGATCCATCCAGGCTAGCCGGGCGTGGAGCCAATCGCGGACGCCGACATCGTAGTACGGCTGCCAGAAGGAGTAGAGCGGCGACTTGAGCTCGGGCCACTTCCAGAGGTTGAGAATGGGCCAGACGGCAAAGTTGCGCTCGGTGGCGTTGGCGGTGGCATGTGGGGCAAGGCCGAGCGGCTTGGCAACGGCAGCAGCAAGGAGGTCCAGAGCACCATCGGACCACGGCCCGCGCCGAAGCGCGGACCAGCGATCCTTGACGAGCTCGGCAAAGTCGTGAGTCTCCAGCAGAGCAGCCCACCAGAAGGGAACGTCTGGCCAGGCCTTGTACTGCCATCCGGCCGCGGAGCCGTCGTTGAAGACGTTGGCATACGTCACGTCGAGATCCCACTGTGGGCCGGCATGCAGGAGGCCCGATCGGTCCTTGTACATGTAAACCGAGTGCCGGAATCCGTCTTGGTTGTGGAAGAGCTCTGTGGAGAGAAAGTAGTCGGCAAACGAGGTGAGGTTGGCAAAGGTGGAGACCCGTGCCGCGCGGACAGCAAGCGAGGTGTTGAATGCCGACTCCCAAGCGGTCATGTAATCGGCAATGTAGCTCTTCTGAGCAGGGGTCAGGTCCTCGCCCTTGGGCGCAGCCGGGTAGAGCTCGATGGACGACGGGAGGTGGATGGTGAAGGGTGCCACCTCACCGTCATGGAGCTTGTCTTTCTTCACGATGTAGCCGCCCGAGACGGCCGGCAGCGAGTTGTCGTCCGGCGTGAGCTTGGTAATGTCTACACGATCTGCAGCCACGCGGATCTTCTCTGTGAGGACATAAACGCCCTCGTACGAGTACGAGTTTGTGGTGTTGAGGAAGAGCTCGACGAGGCGGGTCCGCGGCGCCCATGGCCCTTGCGCAGCGGTGGCGGCGTAGGACAGCACGTTGCGCAGGAGGGACTTGTCGCCCCACGGTGCGTAGAGCACCCACTTCTTGGACTTGGGCATGCCCAGGAGCTCGGTCGACTTGCCGATGTCGAGGGTGTACGACTTCTTGGGATTGGCCCGCGACGTCTGCCCGCGGACCTTGATGCTCCCGGAACCGTCGTAGGCCGAGCCCGGATGGTGAAAGTCGACGACGCCAGACTCTGCCACGCCGGCGAGGCTCACAGAGGCAGCCACCTTTGGATTGGGCCAGGTCGGCGAGAGAGGGACGCCAAAGGTATCGATCTTGAGCAGCGGGAGCGTGGTGCACATCTGAGTCACGTGGAGCTGGCCGCGGTAGGTGCAGGCGGGCGTGGCGGCGCCGAGGGCGAGGCTGAGGGTGAGGATGAGGCTCACGCCGAGAGCAACGGTGGAGGCCGGAGCGGGCATCGTATAGGTGCAGCGGCAGGCGAGTGGGGTGTGGTGAGGCAAACGGCAAGCGGTGGCGCCCAAGCGCCCGTCCCGGAGGCGGCTCGGTGACAGGTGGGCAACAACCGTGACCTGGTGCGACACGGCAAAGGTTGCGCAGCGGCGCAAGGGGTCTACCTACCAAGCACTGCTGTCTGAGACCTTGCAACTGCCCCTATCAAGCAACATCGCAGTCGCTTTCGATTGGAATCGGTTGTGTGCAGGCTGGGTGCGATTGAATGCACGCTTCAAATACTTTGTTCCCTCTCCCGGTAATCAACAATCAAGGGCTCATGGTCTAATGGCAGAACACATGCCTAGTAAGCATGAAATCCAAGTTCGATTCTTGGTGAGCCCTGTCTTCTTTTTTTTTGCTCGTCCAGGCACCCTCGTCTGTCACCCCACATCGAGTGCGTTCAAGTACATAAATGTGAGCTGGCTATCGTGGGTGGGGGGAGGCATAGCTGTAACGGCATGTTCTTGGGGTGTCGACAGAGCAGTTTATCGGATGTGGCTCAGATCACGATCGCCATGGCAGCGCCGAGAAAATCAACTCGCTCTCAGCGGGGATACGGACTCGAGTAAGCGCCGCCGATGCGCATTTTCTTGCGCACTGGACGCACGATAGCCATTGCATCACGTAGACAGCATCTGACACCGGTGACGTTTCGCCCAGGGTGGAGACAAAGGCAAAAAAAAAAGGGCTCACCAAGAATCGAACTTGGATTTCATGCTTACTAGGCATGTGTTCTGCCATTAGACCATGAGCCCTTGATCGCTACTCCGGGAACGGTCCAGAATCAAGAAAAATAGCATAGTCGAACCGCGCGTTGCTACTATCTTCCCAGTACCATGCAAAGCTACCCAACAGGCACTCTACAACCATCGTCGATGACCAACCAACGCATGTACACTTGAACACGCTCAATGTGGGGTGACAGACGAGGGTGCCTGGACGAGCAAAAAAAAGAAGACAGGGCTCACCAAGAATCGAACTTGGATTTCATGCTTACTAGGCATGTGTTCTGCCATTAGACCATGAGCCCTTGATTGTTGATTACCGGGAGAGGGGACAAAGTATTTGAAGCGTGCATTCAATCGCTCCCAGCCTGCACACAACCTTCAGCTCGACCTGCTTGACGACATGGCCTCCTCGTGCTCCCATGCACTACCTGTGCTCCTGCAACATGATGTACAGGTCATCTTTCGCCTGCCAGCATCATCCTGGCTATCTAGCCCTCTTGATCAGCTTTCTCAGCCAGGTCTGCGACGATCCCGCCCTTGCAGCCCACACCATGGCCAACCAGCCTCAACAAGCGCCCGATCCTACCTGCACAACACTACAGCTATGCTGTTCGTGCTCGAGATGAAGCCGACCACCCACCGAGCAGCACGTCTGCCGCCCGCCGCTCAGCCGGCTCGCCGCCGGTGTGCCGGACCAACGGACTCAACGGATCCGGTCACCTCCCCACCCACGTCACTCTCCCACTTCACGCGCCATGGCCCACACATCCACCGGCCGAGTGTACGGGGTGTACACCTGGTGGCGCGGATATGTGCAATCGCTGCGCGAGCCATACCTCGAGACCACGCTTGGCGCCCTCCACGCCGCCTACGCCGGCGAGCTCACCGCCGCGGCTCTGGCACTGACACTCGAGCACGAGCTCGTTCCTCGCGGCGTCCTTGATCTTCTCTCGCCAGTGGAGTTGCACCTGGTTGGCAGCAGTGCTGACTCTGCCGAGCTCTCGGCAACTCGCCGCGTCCGCCTCATCCGCCGCCATCGCTGCGGACGGCCGATGCGATGGACCGATCTCCCTGAGCTTCAAGCCGACGACTTTGCGCTCCCGCCGGCCGACTTTCGTGCCAAGTGGATCGAGCGTGCCAGGCCTGCTCCGTCTGCTCCATCTGCATCGGTTTCATCGTCTGCGCTCGGATTGTCTGCGCTCGGATCACCTGCGCGATCGCGTCCCGCTTCGGGCTATGCGGCGGGCTATGCGGCGGGCTACGCCTCGCCGACTGCCGAGTGGTTCCGGTCGGCACGTGCTGCCCACGACGATCCGGCGTCACCGCTCCCTGTCCCGGTTTCGGTCTCGGTCGCAAGCACTACTGCGGTGCGGGCCACGCCATCGCCGCTGCGTCGCCGCGACTCGCCGGTACCTGGCGTCAACTCTACACTTCTCCGCGCCATGCTCGAGGCTGCTGCCGTCTCGCCGGCTGGCGACGCTGCTCGGGCCGACCTCACTCGGGCCGACCTCACCCGGGGGCCGATGCGCACGCTTGACTTTGACCAGGTGAGCGATGCTTACAGTTGAGCGTCCAACTGCCCCCCTGCCGATCCCGAGTCTAAACCCTTGCCACCACGCAAACTACACCCATGTTTACAATCCACCCTCGATCTCGCCCGCCAGCAGAGACGGCGCAAGTAGTAGGGGGGTTAAACGAGCACTATGCCGAATCGTCCATCAGCACGGGCGCCGCGGCCGCCTCAGCCTCGGCCTTTGTCTCGCTCGTCTCAACATCGTCGACCTTTGCGACCTTGCGGAACTCAACCATGTTGGTCTTGGGGCACTGCATCTCCTCCCAGGAGATGGGCACCATGGCTGCCCCGACGACCGAGCGGGCAAAGACGACGCCAAGCTCGTTGCGCGCGGTCGTGAGCTGATACGAGCGCTTGTCGCCGAGCGAGAGCACCGCGGCGACCACAATGTCGCCCGGCCGGAAGGCCTTGTACATCTCCACTGAGTCGACCATGGTCGCCCGCACGTCCTGGGCCCGGATGACGCCCGAGAACGATGCGCCCTCGGGCAGAGCCTTGCCATCGAGACAGAGCAGCTCGAGCCGCGCCATACGGGGTGTCACCTTGAGCACTCGCCCAGTGACCAGCGAGCCGATCCGCGGGACAAGGCCTGCGGTTGCCCGGGCAGACGTCACCCACACCTCGCCGTCGTCGCTCTCGCCCACCACGCCCACCACCGCCGCCAGCAGCTTGCCGCCGTGGGCATACACTCCGCGCCCGGGCCGCTTCCCGCTCCCGTCCTCGCCCACCACCTCGCCTGGCACCACAGCCTTGCCAGAGCTCGTGCTCATTGCTGCTGCCATGCCTCTGTAGCCCAACCGAGTCGCGTGTCTCGCCTCTCTCCACACCCCGGCCGAGGCCCAGGATGGATGGCCGGCCGGTGAACGACGGCGCCGAGTCGCGAGCGCGAGCCGCCAGCAGCAACTCGCACACAAACACACACACACACACTCTCTCTCTCTCTCTCTTTCTGTCATCTGTTACCGACATTGCCTTCACTACATCCACCTACGACGGCCGGAAATGGAGCGCCATGGTGATCCGCCCCACCCTTGCCGTTCCCGACGAGAAGCGGTCGATGAGCTCGTACTCGTGCGTCACGCCCTCGAGCGGAATGTCGGCCACAAGCAGGTCGACTTCGCCGATGTAGTCCGGCGATGAGAACCGGTCCCAGTCCTTGACAATGACTTTGAGAATGCAGTCGGCCGAAAAAGGGCCGGCAACCACCGCGGTCTCCCGCCACGCCGGCGTCAACGTCTTCTTGCACACCTTGGTCTTGTGGACCTCCTCGGCGTTGACAATGACCGTCGCAAACGGGTCGGCCTTGCCATTCGAGTCCATCGCCGGCAGCTCGCGCGCCCCAATGAGCTGGATGACAAGCACATTCTTCAGCTGCGAGTCCTTGAGCGGCACCACGTGTGATGCGTACGTGATGCGTTTGCGCTCAGACGGCGCCGGCGGCTCCATCGCTCGCGGCTCGAGCTGCTTCGAGACAGCATACTGCTGCTTCTCGTCCCACGTGATCGCCGACTCGAGCCACTCCTCCACTCCGTCCACCTTGGCCAGCTTGTAGTTGTTCTTGCGGAGCCGCAGCAGCGAGTCGATCGCCTCGGCGTTCATCCTCTCCTTCTCAAAGTTGATCAGCCGCGCGTGCCCGACCCGCGACTCGTTGCCGTCATCGATAAACGTCAGGTCCTGAAGCGCCACCCCAAGGTACGGGATGGCCGGCGCCTCCGCCGACACCACCGTCTTGCGGTACGTCGCATAGTTGTGGCTCATCGACATCACCTCGTTGAGCGACTCGAGCTTATCCACGTACGCCTCCGGAAGTCGCTCAAACGAGTACTTGAGCCGCGAGATGGCTGCAGACTGCAGGCCAGAGAGAATGCCCATAAGCGCGTTGAAGTTTTGCAGGTTGAGGCAGTGGACCGCCACATCGATAAAGAAGCAGATGACCTGCGCTCGCTTCTCTGTCGTCGGCTCCACAAGAATAAGCGTCGCGAGGAGTGCTCCAAGCCTGTTGAACGATTCGATGAGCTCGAGAACCGCCGGCGCGCGCTCGCTGGCACCTTCCCGGCACCACGCCTGCTTGAGGAGCTCGGACCGCCGGACCTTGCAAAAGATGGCAAAGTCGGCCCGTGTCACCTGTCGCGCTACCTCCAGTGGATGGACTCCATCCGGTGAGAACCGAGTGATCCGTTGCGAAGGTGGCATCATTGGTGTCGGCGGTGAGCCGATCGGCTCGGCCGCCGCCTCGTCGCCGTCGCCGTCACCGTCTCCGTCATCGAGCGCATCCTCCCCGCCGGCCCGACGCCGGAGCGGCCCGGCCTCAAAGTTAGCCATCCGCTCCGACGGATACCTTGCCACCCGCGACTCGTACAGCTTGGACAGCGCGTGGAGCCCGGCCCGCGTGTCGTACTCCTTGGTCACCTTGAGCGCCCGCGTGAGGAAGGCCTGAAACTGGCTCGCCACCTCGGCCCCAAACGCAAAGTCCTCAAAGTAGTCGAGGAGCCACTGTGTGAGAATCGCAAGGATGTTGTACCGCGCCGCAGGCTGGTGCACTTCCTTGAACGTCCGGATGCCAGAGTATAGGGTCATGTCCGGCGTCGCGTACCAGTACTCGGTAAAGAGCGTGAGCAGCTCGAGCGTCGGCACAAAGTTGGTGTGCGTGAGGAGCGTAATGTGCAACAGATCGAGATTGGTCACAGACGGTGCCACAAGCTTGCGCACAAGTGCTTCCAGCGATATGGCCGAGATTGAGTACTGGATGTGGTCGTCCGTGAACGGATCGTGCCAGTACGCGAGCTTGGCGCCCGACTCGCTGCCTTTGTCACCAGCCTCAAACTCCACATCACCGCGCGACGACTCGAGCACGAGCGCCTGCAGCGACTCTTCCGATGGGACGACCGGCGGAAGCGCCGCAAACCGAGGCACGGGATACGAGAGCGGGACGCAGTATGCCCGCGGGACAAAGCCGGCCGCAGACTTGGACTCGGCAGTCACGTTGCGGACAAACATCCACCCGTCCGACGGCTTGGAGAGCGCCACAAGCACGTCCTGGCAGGCCACAGAGAGCGTGTATGGCGACGAGCTCACAAAATCGTGCGAGACAATGTACAGGCCACGGTGCATCCGGTCCTTGGCCTTGGCGTGGTTGGCGGGCATCGGCGGTGTCTCATTCCGCGCCTTGACCGCACTTCGCACCATGCCCCACATCGCACTTCCCTTTGAGTCCTTGCGGTGCTTCCTCGCCGGGGCCGAGCCTGATGGCGTGAGCGGCGTTGGCGGCGTCACCGGCCGCACGACATGCACCTCGCTGGAGCTCGGGCTCGCTCCCGTCCGCTTTGACATGATGTGCGCACGGACAATGTCGCGCATGGTCACCGGCCTGTCCGACGACGACAGCTTGGACGCCTGAATCCGCGCAACAATACGCTGCAGCGTCGTAGCTGCTTGCGACGGCCCCGGCTTGGTCGTTGCCGCCGCCGCTGCCGCCACCGTCGCCGCTGTCGCCGTCGTCTTGCCCTTGGTCTTGGCCCTGGCCTTGGACGGCTTCTTCTTGCGAGTCTTCACCCTCCGCCGAACCTTGATCGTCTTGGTCGCTTGTCCGGTCTTCAGCATGGGTGGCAGTGGCGGCAGGGGATCGGCGGCGTCAGGCGTGGAGCCCGACTCCGTCCGTGACCTCGCCGCAAGCTCGCGTGCGGACGGAACATGAGGAGCCCGCGAGGAGGCCGAGCTCGCACCAGCAGCAGCAGACATTGTCGACGAACGTCCACGCGTCTTATGCATGTGTGGTGGGAGTGGCGCCGACGACAGCGACCGGTCTCTCCGTGTCGCCATGCCCAGATGCGATGGGGGGAGAGAGAGAGAAAGAGAGAGAGAAAGAGAGGGAAGTCAGTTGGGTGGCGGTTGGCGTGGAGTGACCACCCATGGCTGAACAAAGCTGATCTGTGGCAGACTCAATTCGGACTGGCATGATGATGATAACGATGATGGTGGTGATATGGGGGGGGGGGCTTCGATTGAGTTGATAGCACAAAGGTGGGGAAGAGGTCGAGTAGGCGAATGGGATGCGTGGAAAAAGAGTGGGAAGAGGGGGGTGCACGGAGATACGCGGTGTAGAAGGTGCTGGTGCGGGGTTGGGGGGCCAGAAAAGATGATCAACCAATCTAGTAGCGGTGACATAGTAAACATTACCCGACATGCTGGGGAAAAGGCACAGGTGCGATGATGGGAGGCATGAAGAAGCGGGGTTAGGATCGTTTGGGGCTGATTGCGTGGGTCAAGGCAAGTTTACGCGATGGGAGAGAAACTCATTCCAGTGGTGATGGGCCGTTTGTGAGCAAAGGCGGAATGGCGCAGGCGAAAAAGGTCGAGGCGTAGTGCCCCACCGTGGGCAGTGTGGAGGGCGGCGGCATCGGCCTTGAGGACAACCATGATGGGGCCAGCAGACTCGGACATCATCTCCAGATCGATCCTCACAACAGCAAGCTCGTCGCCTTTCCACTCGATCTCGATCTGTGGCTCGTCCACGGTTTGGGCGTTGACGAGCACGGCCAGGCCGGCGCGAAGCACGTCTTCGTCGACAGGTGCAGAGAGTTGCAGATGGAAGATAGCGATGATGCCGCGGGAAGAAGCCGTGGCCGTCGGTGGGCTGTCGGCGGCCAGCAAGAGCGGTGTATGCTCACCAACGCTAAAGTACCATCTGCAGCCCTCGTCCTGCCACTGGCCGAGCTAGCTCGACCATGTATCTGCGGCCATTACGGAGGTGGGCCTGCGGAAGAGGAAATCGGATGTGTGCGCCCAGGGCCTCTGCATCGCCATCAACATCGAAGCTCTTCATCTATGCCTCCAGCTCCTTTACCTCGTCCGCATACCCGCAGGTGGTCAGCGTGGCTCGCAGCAGGCGCTCGAGAGACCGGTGCTCGAGGCTCGGGACGTAGCCACGGGCGTAGCCCGAGACGACCAGATCGTAGCCGATGCTGTCGGCGGCGATGTCGTTTGCAGCCAGCGGCGAGTCGTTTCGTGGAAGGAAGCCTCGTGGGATGAGATGCTTTGCCCGGGGACCAGTGCCCAGCACGCGCACCACCGCGATCACGCCGCCCGGCGCCACGTAGGCCGCGAGCGGTTCGTCGCCGTCGACATCGGCGGTGAGGCTGTGACCCGAAGCGACGACGCAGCGAATGTCGGAGATGCCAAGTGGCTGAAGTGCGGCGAACAGGTCGCGGACGGATGCAGTGGCAATGCTAAGGTCCGGGAGTGGTACGGGCTCGGACCCCAAACCGATGCGGGCACGGATGGGTGCGGGGCCAGCGGCCATGCCGAGCGGGGAGTGGGTGTGGTGGGGGACCAAATACAGCAGTATAAGAACTGCGTCGGGGCGGGGAGGTGTTTAGGGCGAATCGTCGTTTGCGCGGCGGATAGTGGCGAGGATAGGGGGCCGGCTCGAGCTGATAAGAGCGGTGCAGATCCAGCCATCGACGGTGACGTGGTTGCACGACTCGCGGTACTTCTTGCCGTGAAGCAACACTTGATTAGCTTTGACGTGCTTGCGCCACTTCAACCTGCTGCAAGCCTCGATTGGATCCACGCCGAGGGCGGATATGTCCCACTCGACATGGGCAAACTTGGTCTTCTTGCGCGGCTTGTAATTCGGCTTGATCGTCCGTCCATCGGGCGACATGGAGACAGTGGAGATCTCGCAGCCAGCGGGCATGTCCGGGGTATACTCTGCCTCCTTGGTAAAGCCGAGGCTCCCGTCCTTGCGGCGATGGCTTGTCCACACGATGACCACAGTCTTGGTCCACGAGATGGCAACGGGTGACTGCTGAGTATGTCCTGGCGCGGTGCGCGTGGCCAAAAAAGACCCCGGAACCAATCGCACGGAGGTAGCTGCTCAATGGGGGTGACAAACGCGGACTCGTTCCACAGCCGCAGGCAGTTGTCCTTCCCCCATGTCGCGAGTGTGCCATCATCCAAGCGCAACAAGCCAAGGATATGCTCTTGGGAGCAGTACTGCATGAAACACCTGGTGCCGTCTTCCGCCAGTTCTACCTTGTAGAGCAAGCGCGCGCTGGCGTAGACCACAACCGGCGCATCCGCCGTGCCAATCGCCTCGACGAAGCTGATTTTCTCACCGTTGCCGACCGAGAAAGCAAGCTTGGTTGCATCTCTGCCGCAAACAACCAGATCAGTCTTCGTCCAGGCCATGACTTCAAGCGGAGCCGCCGAGAGCACACGTACCCCGACAATCTTGGTTGGCGCATCCCAGAGCTCGACTGAGTTGTCAAAGCTGCCAGACATGTTGTGACGCCAAACGAGTAGCTTGGTCGACCAGGAGACTAAGGCGCCGGTCTCGGGCACAACCAGCGCGCCCGCGATCTCAGGTTGGTTGGTCTTGAGGTTGTGTGCGGACTCAAACGGCGGCAACCAGATAGACATCGCGTTGCCATAGCTCACGACGAAACCACCCGGGAACAGAGTCACAGCCGGCGCCCGGTCGAAGGTTTGCACCTTTGGCGAGTTGTAGCCAGAGTGCTGGGTGGCAGCGCATGGCGAGTTGCCCGATGGGCCCCAGATGACCACCTTTTTGCCCGGAAAGCAGGCCACAATGTACGGCAGGCAGTTATCTGTGGCAGGGAGCTCCGGCGGGACGCAAACAACTGACTTGATACTCTTGCCTGCCATATTGTGATCTGGAAGAGCGATACAGGCTTGGTCGGCAGAGGCGGCAGAAGGATCGAGGCAGATGGCCAGAGTCTTGTCGACGTGTACGGCTAGCAGCCAGGGCATGCCGTCGGGACCATGCCTGCCGAGGACTTGAAGGCTGGAGATGACCGAAGTGGTCAGGAGTGGCACGCCGGGCGTCATAGCCCAAGTAGAATGGTCTCGCTTCAGTATCCACAGCCTGTCGGCCACAGCCGCGATGAGCAGGTTGTCATCAATCTGCACGACATGCCGCAGGTACCTGTTCTTGCCATTCTCGAACTGGATGCAGTCGAGCAGACCGTGGTAGAGCGGCTCTAGCGGGACAGCGCGAGACTGTACTGTCTCCCGCGCGCCGAGCATGAGTCTTGCGATGCAAGGCGACTCGCTGACGAAAGGCAGCTCGCAGGGCTCAGCAAGGTAGACAGCGAGCTCCGCAGCAAGGTCCGGCGCAGCGATAATAATGTCGGGCGGAACGGAGCGCGAGGCGACAAGTAAGCGATTCAGCTCGGCAGCAGCGTTTGGCTTGTTGACAAGGAGCGACTGCAGCTGCACGAGGCCATGCATGAGCTCGGTGCGGTTGGATGCAAAGGCGGCAGAGAACCACGCCCATGAGAAGACAACGTCGAGCGCGGTGATCATGCTGCCGTGTGCGAGGTTGATGAGGTCTGCACCTGGGCTCTTGGAGTTCGCGGCGTTGTTCACGACGGCATCCTTGACATCGTCGACGCTCTTTGGCGCGGCGTCGCCACCGGCGGCGAGAGCAAGGTAGATCTGCTCCAGATCAACGCCCTTCACCGTCGCAAGTTGAGCCACGGCCTTGTGCTGAAAGGCGTTGAGCGTGATCGTGTCCACCGAGCCGTGCAAGGTGCGCGAGACTGAAAGGAGGTTGGCGTGGGCAAGCTCGGTGAGGACGCGGTTGAGGCGAGTGCGAGTAAAGCCAAGCATCCTGGCCAGAATGGTGAGCCCCGACGAGGCAATGCGAGGCGGATGGAGCGGAAAGGCTGCCAGCGAGGCATACACCTCTCGGCCCGAGCCTTGCATGGACTCGACGAGTGTACTGAGTGCGTACTCAATAGCATCGATGGACGAGTCACCCACAAACGCGCGCTCAGCTGTTGCAAGCGCATCGTTCAAATCGTCGGCGTTGCCGATGGCGGTGGCGAGCGCGACGAGCGCACCGGGATGGCCGCCACAGTGCTCGATCAGGACGTCAAAGAACGAGTTGTCCGGGGCCGTGCCCAGGTATGCGCTCCGGTCAAACGAGGCCATGAACAGTTCGACAGCGAGTTTGGGCTCCAACGTTGTGCAGCAGCTAAAGTCGTCAGTGCGGATGCCACGCGTGTTGCACGACACAAGTAGGAGCTTGTGGGGCGGGCTGATGGCGTCGCACAGGGCGGCCGCATAGCGCGAGTCGGAGTGTGCCACGTCGTCGACGACAAGAAGAATCCGGGTGTCAGTAATGCCTGCCAGCAGTTTGGTGAGCTCTTGGTAGCAGAGTTTGAGGTGCGGGACGGCGTCTCCACCCAGCGCCTCGATGACCAGATTGAGGCTGGCGACGACAGCGTCGTCACTCGTCCAGTCGGCGTCGATCCACAGAATGGGCACAAACCGACCAGAGACGGCGGCTGTATGGCAGGCGGCCGCGGCGGCGACGGTCCGGCCTGATCCGCGGATGCCGGTGAGGTGGACAACAGAAGTTGTGTTGGGGCCACAAGGAGTGCAGAGCTTGTTGGCAAGCTCGTCATGGAGAGACGGAAGTGGAAGGAAGAACGACGGCAGCGGTGGGACTGACAGCAGATCGAGGGCGTACGATTTGTGCGACGCTACCACCGACTCGGCACGGCTTTTCTCGACTGCCATCACCACCGCATCGCGCAGTTTCTTCAAAATCTCTTGTACGCTGGTCTTGTTGAGCTCACACAGAAAGAGGCCGCGGGATTTGAGACGTCTGGCTACCGCGACCCGTTGCTGGAGCTTCTCTTCCGACTTGAGGACATCGGTCCAGATCTCGCGAGCCTTTTTGTAGACCGCATTGTCGACAGCGTCCGGGAATGCATGGTCGGACATGTATTTGATGAGCGGATGCGATTGGATGGGATCATTGGCGACGTGAGCTCTGTTCCATTTCCCCAGCTGGTCGTACGTCATGACCGGATCGAGGCCAAAGACAGGCACAAGCTTGGCGTCGATTTTCTCCCTCGGCACGGCTTCCGCCTCGGCGATGGCCCAATTAGAGACAAACAGGTACTTGGAGACAATGACAACGACGACGCGCGACCGGAGGACCTTTGCTACCAAGTCCTTGGGACCCTCGACACAGTCGCCGATGAGCGACACGTTGTCGACAAAGGTCTTGATGTTGCGCTCGCTCAGCATGTCGTACAACGCCAGGCACCAGGCCTTGGTGAACGATCCGTGGCAGAGAAACACATCGTAGAGCGGCGGGAGCGAGTCTGATCTGTTGTCACCGGTGTTGTTGCTCGGCCCTACGTCAGGCTCATGGTTGAGGCTCGTCTCCTTGCCCTTCGATGCGGATTTTCCTCGCTTAGCCATTTTCTGCAGGCACAGCGAGCGAGCAAGCGGGGTCGAGGACAGGTCCCACCCAGGCTAGGTCAGTGCCTCTGTGAACACAGGCGAGAGGGAGGAGGGGTGGTGGCGGTGGTAGTGGTGGTGGTGGTGGTGGTGGACGACCTGGTGAGAGGGGTGCTTGCGTTGGAGCTGCAGACAGAGCCCTGTGCTCTCCCGGTAGACGTTTGCCAGATGCCTGGCAACGCCTACGAAACCAATTGGAGACGATCATGGTTGGCGTAGACCTCACCAGTTTGTGCAGAGTATGGTTTGTGAAATGCATGGCGCCCACATAGGGTTGCAGCCTTCAGTAGAGAGAGGGAGAGAGAGTGTGTTTGTGCGTGTGTATGGGTGTGTATTGGTTGCCCTATGAAGCCTTGCTCTTCGCCGAACTTGTCGGTGCCAAAAAAAGCTGCATATGCAACGACGCGATGGGCAGTAAGGGCGGGAGCAAAAGGCGTACGGTTGTCGTCGCGGCGGACGTCCATCCCTCAAGCATCTTCCCCCGAAAAAGGACGCTCTCCACTTATGGGTTGTTCTGGAGGGGGGGGGGCTCTGGGGGGACCCTGCTCACGTCGTCACCGACCGCGCCGCCGCCGCCGCTGCCACGCGCTCATAGTTCGAGTCATTGACAAAGTTACCGCCGAGCGTGATACAAGGCCCGACGCCGACAGCTACAGCTGTGTGCCACCAGCCGGGTGGAATGTACAGGAGCTGACCAGGCGCGAGGTCAACCACCGAGAGTTCGGCACTGGCAAACTCCGGAAACGTGCCCAGCGACGCCCTGTCTGGCTTGCTGATCCGCGACACGAGCGGCTGGTCCTTGATCGGGTACACCGCGCTTGTCGACGACGGCGGCGCCACAAAGAACCGCTTGTGGCCCTGGATCTGGCCCGACCACGCATGGGTAGCGCAGACGTCGACGTGGAACAGCGGCGTCCGAGTCCCGCACCCCGAGATGAAGAGCTCTGCCCACGAGAGCCACCACTGAGGCACAACATCTCTCAGCTCGTCCATGCGATTGCTGCCCATCGGCGCTGGCGGCGTCTGAGTCTCCGCCGCCGCTGCGGGGAACCATCGGCAGAGATGCAAGTTGCGGAGGTAGAGCCCGACATCCTCCGTCTGTTCCGCCACAAGATCAAGGTACCACCCCAGCGGCATGTCGACTCGATCCCGGAGCGTCGCGTTAAGCGGCACCGTCGTCTCGCCATACTCGGCCTTCCACCGCGCCGCGTCCCACCCCATCGGCAGCGTCGCCTCCGCTCCGACCACCACACACGGCGTCTCGCTTGCGATGAGCTCTGCCAGCGCTTCCCGCCCGCTCGCCTCTTTCCAATCCACTCGCACCACCTCGGCCCCAAGCCTACACGGAAGCACCGAGCGGGCGTCGTCAGCATCCATCGGCGGCGGTGGCGAGGCCGCGCCTCGCCGGCGGCTGTGGTGGTTTGCTGCCGCCTTCTCGATCGCCCGCCGCACTCCCATGGCCCGCACCGCTGCCTCGGGTGCATCGGCCGGCAGCCACCACTCTGAATCCGACGATGACAACGATCCGCTTCCCGATCCATCTTCATCTCCACCAGACGATGAGAACGACGCCGAGTACCGCACGTTCGGGAAGCGCCCAGAGCCCGAGCCCGACCCGCCGCTGTCCGAGCCCATCATGCCCCAGCCCTCATCCATGCGCGACGACGAGCCACCAGCCACAACTATCGGTCGTTCCGCCATGGCCATGGTCACTCTCACCCAGCACTTGCCCCGCCCTGGTCTGCTGCCACGGCCCGTTCCCCGTCCCGACCGCCACAAGCTCGAGTCGAGTGTAGCCCAGCCCAAGCCCAACCACCCCAGCTCCACCGCCCTCGTCAACGACCACACCTCACTCCGCCCCCTCTCCCCCCTCCCCGCCCATGGCTGCAACACCAGGCCGGAAGACTCCAGGCCAGGGAGGCATCCGTGTCGTGGCGCGGTTCCGCCCGGTCAATGCCGACGAGACCGCCCACGACGGGGCGGTGTGCGTCGACTTCCCCTCCGACTCGTCGGCCGAGCTGGCCATCGGCAAGCGGACTCAAAGCTTCTCCTTTGCACGCGTCTTCCCGCCGCACACCTCGCAGGCTGGCGTGTATGACTCTGTGGGTGCACCGCTGCTGGATCCGCTTTTCTCCGGCGTCAACGTCGCCGTCGTCGCCTACGGCCAGACCGGCGCAGGCAAGACCCACACCATGTGGGGCGCGCCTGCCGCTCCTGACGCCGCCGGCATCATTCCGCGCCTCCTGGCGGAGGTCTTTGACCGCTCTGCCGCCGACGCCCTGCCGGATGGGACCACCGCCACGCTCTCGGCCTCGTACATTGAGATTTACCGCGAGGTCGTCCACGATCTGCTCGCTCCGCGCGAATCGGCTCCAAAGGCCGGCCTGCGCCTTGTTACCGGCACCACCGGCGTGGTCGTGCCGGATGGCGCAACAAGCCGCAGCGTGGCTGCCATTGACGATATTATGAGCCTCATGGATGAGGGCAACTCTCGTCGCTCTGTTGCCGCCCACAAGCAGAACGCCCAGTCCTCGCGCTCGCACGCGGTCTTCATCCTCAATCTCACGCTGCACAACGCCCACGATGCGAGCACAACATCTTCGGGCCTGTATCTGGTCGATCTCGCCGGCTCGGAAAAGGTCTCCAAGACCGAGGTCGCCGGCCTGCAGCTGCAAGAGGCCAAGACCATCAACAAGTCGCTCCTCGCCCTCGGCAACGTCATTGCTGCCCTCTCCTCTTCGGCTCGGAAGGGCGGCAAAGGCGGCAAGCGTCACGTCCCCTATCGTGATTCCAAGCTCACTCGCCTTCTCTCCGCTTGCTTTGGCGGTAACTCGCTCACTACGCTCATCATCTGCTGTTCGTCCGCAGCGTACAACGCCACAGAGACTCTCTCCACCCTCCGCTTTGGCGACCGCTCCGCCAAGATCCGCAACACCCCGACCGCCAACAAGGTAGTCTCTGCCAAGGAGCTCACCTCGCGCCTGCATGAGCAGCAGGCAACCATCGCAGCCCAGGCGGCCGAGATCGAGCAGCTCAAGGCTGCGCTCCTCGCCATGCAGCGCGGCGAGGCCGGAGCAGCCCTCGCCGACATGGCCTCGCCTGTCCCGGCCCACATGCTCACCGCCAAGGCTGGCTCGCGCTTCTCTATTGCCTCCTCGCACCTCTCAGACTCGTCGTCAGAGGCCGATCCCGGCGTCACCGCCAGCCCCGAGGCCGATCCCGCGAGCAAGCCCGACACAGGAGGTGAGGACGATGCGGAGCTGGCCGAAGTCATTGCCCCACCGCACGCACTCTGCACCCTCGCCTTTAACGCCATGCTCGACAATGAGCTCTCAGCACGTCTCGGCGAGTCGTTTGTGGTCATTCCACCTGCAGCACTCGCGGCCGACAGCCTCGTTGACCTCATGGACGTTGACGGCGAAATGGTGGCCTGCGAGAGGCTCGACGGGAGCCAGCGAGGGCTCGTCCCGCGCGCGCACCTCATCTGTTCCGCGGGCGGCCAGCCCCAGTTTGCGATTGTCCTCTTCCACTTTGATGCTGAGCTCGCCACCGAGCTCACAGTTCCTTTTGCCGGTGTGGTCCAAGTCCTCGCCGAAAACCTTGACGAGGCGCCTGGATGGCTTTTGTGCAAGCTCCCGGCCACCGCCACCATCGGCCTTGTGCCTGCAGACTACCTGCGACTCCTCGGCCCAAACGAGGATCCGGACCTCGTCGCCGCTCAGCTCGACCCAGACTATGCTGCCATCGAGGATCAGCGCGTGGCCGACCGGGCCGCTGCGTACGATGCCCTCAGCAAGGGCGACTACGTCCGGGTCACCGCTCCTTTCAACTCACAGTTTGACACCGAGCTCGCGGCTTCGCCGGGAGACATCCTCAAGGTCGCAGGCAAGCAGCCACCAGAGTGGCTTTTCTGCAAGGTCGAGGCTCTCGCCGTGCCCGATAGCTCGCGGGCCAAGGCGCGTGGCCTCATCCCATTCGGATACTGTCTGCCCAGTCCGGATTACCGCCCGCCGCCGGCCCGGACCTCGTCGGCCAGGGCGGCCGGCAGCGGCACCATGCCGTCGCTCCCGCCGCGGTCGTCGTCGCTCCAGTCAAAAGAAGGAGACGACGGCGCCGCGTTGCCGCCGCTGCTGTAGAGGAAGATTGAAGGTAGGGGACACTCCGCTATGGCAGCCCCACAAGGCTGAGCACGTCAAGCTGGCACGGATGTTGTGGCTGGAGCCCGAGCTTTCGCGCCACCAGCGTAGCCAGCACATGCAGCCAGAGCGAGTGCGATGACTCGACCAAGCCATCGAGGGCGAGTACTCCGCGGGTGCATCCTGCTGCTGCCCGCATCTGCGCAAGCTGTTCGTCGTCCACGCTGTCTATTGCATCCGGTATGCCTGTAGCATTGCTTGGCTCCAAGTGGAGTGCAAAGGCCGACCAAGCCCACAGCTCGTCCAGCATTTGTCGGCACCCGACGTCTACCACAACAAGCGGGGTGCCAGCTGCGAGGCCAAACGCCCCACGGATGCCCCATCCGCCAATCTGCCCCAGCGGCGCGAGGTTGAACTGCGCTGCAAACGTGCTCGCCTCCACAGAGTCGACGTAGCCGTCCACAACCACAAAGTCGTCGCGCCTTGCCGCATCTGCCATCTCCACCGCAGCCAGCCGCCCGTTTCCGTCCGCCACCGGCCACACCGACGACTTAGCCACGGTTCCGGCAAAGAACAGCCGCGGTCGCCGGTGCGGATCAAAGCCCAGCGAGGGCTTTCGCGCGTAGTCGGCAACAAATGGATGATGCGGCGGGAGGACAATGTCAACTCCGCCCACAAACTCGCCGCGCGCCGCACGGGTGACATGTCCGCTCATCAGCCCGTGGTACGCGAGAAAGACAGAGTCCAGCGCACGCGCTCGCGCGAGAACCTCGTCATTCTCATCAAAGTATGCCCCAATCCCGCCGTCATCCATGAGCGGGAGCCACACCAATGTCTTGCCGCTCTTAGCCACTCGCGCGGCCTCGAGCAGCGCCACTACCGGCTCGCGCGACCACATCCGCCCGGCGCCAAACGGGACAACAAGCACATCGGCATCTCGCGCCGATCTGACCAGGCATTCGCCTGCCGCTAGCACCTCCTCCGCAAACCTAAACACTCCGTGTCGCCAAAGTCCACGCTCAGCCCGCTTGCTGTCGCGTGCCATCCGAAGCTGAGGCTCTGCGGGAGCGAGAGGACGTGTGCACTCTGCGCACATTTCGTCCCATCACCGCCCGCCATCGCCTCCGGCTCCGAGCAGTCAAGCCCCCGCACCCTCCAGCGCACACGCAGTATCCGCGCATGCACGTCCCATGGCCGGAGCACATGTTGAGACATGCCGAGTCGGCCCCACGGTTGCCCTGCTGGCAGTGGCTTCCAGTCACGCCGCCAAAGCACAGGCACGACACTGCGTCCGACTCCTCGTCGTCGTACACACACCAGCCCTGCCCGGAGCAGTAGCCCAGCGAAGCGCAACGGTCAATCGGAGCAAAGAGCGGCACGCTGTCCTCGTCCTCATCGATGAGGTACAGCTCGCCAGACTCACGCCGGAGTGCGCCGATTCGCCGCAGCCGGAGCTCGGCAGGGCGGGTGAGTGCCACGCCCAATGCCACCTCAGCGTCGCTTATCTCTACACACCGGATGGGTCTGTGACCGTCGCGATACTGGTGCATCCGCCAAAACTCGGCCGCCTCGAGCCGCGAGAGCGAGCGCAGCAGCGCGCCACACCGTCGCAGACAGGCGCACCTCACCGGCGCCGCGCCCCGCGGACGCGGCCCTTTGTCTGATACCAGCGCTGGCGCGATGCACCGAACAAAGACGCCGAGTCGGTCGATTTGCTCGGCGTGGTACTCGGGCGCGTCTCGTGCGGCGCGTCCCAGCGGTGCCAGAACGCCATGCCCGCCCGTCGCCTCCCGCCACGCCTCCGCCGACGCCAGCTCGCAGGCGGCCATGTGATGCGCGGCGCAGAGTGCAGAGATACGGGTGGCAGGCAAAGCATTGCCTGCCTCACGTTCTGCCTTGCCACACACACACCCGCCAGCGGCGCTCATCGCATCGTCCGGGCTCCACCAGACCTGGCCGGTGAGGCAGTCGTGGCGTGGCCGCTGGCTGCCGTGGGCCACGCGGACTGAGCCGTCGCCACCTCCTGCCCCACGCCAGATGGCCAGTAGCAGCCTGGCAGCAAGCAGCGCGAGAACGGCTACAGCCACAACTTTCCGCCTGCCATGTAGTACTGGCGGCATCGACACCGTGTGTGTGTGTGTGTGTGTGTGTGTGTGTGTGTGTGTGTGTGTGTTGAGGAGTGAGTGAGATGTGGAGCACCGTAGCACCGTAGTGCCCGAGAGGCAGGTTCAGGTTGAGACGACTGCCAAGCACACCACGCAGGCAAGGAGAGGGCTTTGCCCAGCAGGCGACCATGAAAGCCAAACTCAATGGGCTCGGGCTCGGCTCCATGATCTACTCTTTTACATCAACGCCACCACCACCAGCAAGCTACAGGTTGCCGAGGTGCTCGCGGATGACGTCCTCGGACAGCAGGCGGAACTTGCCGGTCTCGACATCGACGACGCCGACCTCAATGTTGGTCTCGTCCATCTCGCCGTCAAAGCCGTCCTTAAGGGTGAGGAGGGCGGTGTGGACAGCGTCTTCGAGATCGAGATCCTCGGTGTAGCGCTTCTCGAGGAACTTGCGGGCCGAGATGTAGTTCTTGCCGATGGCCGCCGCCTTCCACGCCCAGTACGAGCCGGACGGATCGACCTGGAACAGGTGCGGGCCGGTCTCGTCGCAGCCTGCCACCAGGAGCGAGACGCCGAACGGCCGAACGCCGCCCGACTGGGTGTACTCCTGCATGACCGAGGCGAGCTCGCGGACGGTCTCCTGGGTCGGCGACGCCTCGAGATAGGTGCGGTAGTATGCCTGGGCCGCTTTGCGGCCCTTGCGGAGGAGGACCTTAAAGTCCGGGCCCATACCGGCGTATGTCACGCCCGTCGCCTCGTTGAGCATGGCCACCTTTTCCACCGACTCGGCCTCGATCAGCAGCGACGGCATCTTCTTCTCGGTGGCAATGACCACTCCGTTGGCGGCTGGACGGGAGAGGGGGGGGAGGAGGGGAGGAGAGGGTGTGTGTGCTCATGAGTGGTAGACAGGCGGGGAGGAGGGGAGGGAAGGAGGGAAGGTAGGCTCGAGGCTGGCGTGTGTGGAGGGGGAGGACAGGGCGTGGGGGTGGGCAGGGGACTGACAAGGTCGGGTCGCCTCCTGCACAGGTCGCACTCGGGCGGGGCGAGGGCAGGCTACGTACCCTTAATACCGATGGTGGTGGCACCCTGTGAGACTGCGTTGAGGGCATACTCAATCTGGAGCAGCTTTCCCGACGGCGAGAAGGTCGTGAGGGAGAACGAGTACCGCGTGCCCATGGACATGGTGGTCTAGTGGTAGCGACGGGTGCCGCCTGCTGGTGGCTGGCGGTCTTTTGACTCGCTTCGCCGCCCGTCGCCCACTGCCGGCTTTGTTCGCCGGCCTGGCACCCCAGCCGACCGAGACCTTCTCGAGCCGGCTACATGGCACTGATGGAGACTAAAGGCTCAACTTCTCCACAAATCGGCTAGTACAAGCTAGTTTAGCTGGCGGCAGGTGGTGCATCGTCGCCCACGACCGTCGCTGCATCCTTGCCCACAACCGCCTTGGCAGCCACGCCCGCCGCGCCCTCGAGCCCGCTCGCGCCCGCGACAATCGCAGCATCGATCGCGGCAGCGCGCTGGGCAGCGACGTCGGCCGGGGTGGAGACAGCAGCGACAGCATCGCTGTACTTGCGGCGCATGGTGGTGACGATGTGGTTATTGACATCAAAGTCGTCCTCGGCCCAGTAGGGAAGCGGCGTGGTGAAGACACGCTGCTCGAGGTCGTTGTCTGGAGGAAGGTCCTCGCCGGGGAAGAACTCGTAGCGGAGGGCGTGGAGCCAGAGCTCGAGAGCGTGGCCAGAAATGTCTTTGTACACTTCTTGGCCGTTGCACATCTCGCAGATCTCGTCGTAGTTGGGCGAGGAGGGGTCGACGGGCCCGCAGCGGGCAAGCGACTCGGGCTCGGCCTCTGCGCGCGCAGAGAGCGCAGCGCGGTGTGCCTCGTTGTACAGCGGGTCGTTGGAGATGGGGAAGCCGAGGTGAAGAAGGTGGAGGCGGATCTGGTGTGTGCGGCCTGTCAGCGGCTTGCAGCGGATGACCGACGAGCCGTCGGCGGTTGAGACGCGCTCGAAAATGGTGGACGCCTCCTTGCCGCCCGACTCGACCACGCCCATCTGACCAGTGCGGCCGTCGAGCTTGTCGAGGCGGGCATCGACACGGAGGACGCCCGGCGGAAACTCGCCGTCGACCCGGGCCAGATAAGTCTTGGAGACGCGGCGGGCCTTGATGGCCTCCGAGTACTTGCGGCCGGCGTTCTGGTCCTTGCCAAACAGGAGCAGGCCCGAGGTGACGCGATCTAGCCGGTAGAGCGGCCAGAGCGAGAGGTAGCTGCGACGACCGAGGAGGAAGACCACGGTGTTGTGGCGGAAGCGGCCGCAGGGGTGGACCGGGATGGAGCACGGCTTGTTCACGGCGAGGATGGCGTCCGTCTCGGCGAGAACCTCGGGCTCGATGTCGAGGACGGGCGGCTCGTGGCGGTGCATCTCGTGGGTCATCCAGTCGTTGTCGCGGAGGACAAGCTCGGGCGAGATGATCTGGTCCTGGATGCGCAGTCGGCCGGCGGCGCAGGCTTTGCGGATGTACTCGGGCGAGGAGCCAACAAACTCGGTCTCAAACAGGCCGGCCACGGTCTGGCCGAGCCAGCGCTTCCGGGCGTTGGCCACGTAGGTAAAGTAGTATGGAACAACGCCGCGGAGGCCACCGGGCAGCTTCTCGTACTCGGTCTCTGCGAGCATGCGCGGCATGGACGAGACCGTCTTGCCCTTCAGCCGCGGCTGTGGCCGCTTCTCGATCCCGCGGTCGTCGACCTTGAACACGTAGCCGGCGGCGAGCTTCTGCCGCTTGCGCCTCCGGGCGTCCTCCAGGGCACTCTCTCCGGCTTTGCCCGTCTCGCCATCTGCCGGGGGGGAGGGCGATGCCTCGCGCTTGCCCTTTCCTTGTGGGCGGGATGAGGCCGACATGTGGGGTGGAGTGTAAGGGGGATGGAGGGAAGATGGACGAGTTGGGGGTTCGACTGCGAGGCGCGATACTTGGGCATGGTCTCTGCATGGCATGCGGCGATGGAGTTGGAATAGGAAGCAGGTGTGGGATCACCACCACCAAGGCAAGACGCCACACACTTCCATCGGCATCTCCTGCTCCACGCATCGGCCGAGGTCGGCTTGTGATTCGTCCGCACCCCTCCCCCCCCCCCTACCCCCCCCTCCCCCCCCCCCTACC